GGGAGGCCGCAGGCGGGCCCGTCCGGCCCAGTTTTACTGCCCAGTCTCCGCACAAGCAGGGGGATGCCGAGAGCGCTCACGTAGTGACCGAGGGGCGTCCTTGGACCCGGCTGTGTCCTTGCAGGCTCCTGTCTGTGGGCCGAACTCTCTGCGTTTCAAGCAGTCCAGCTGCAGCCCTCTTGCGCACTGGGGAGCTTGGTCATGAGCTCGGTTTGGTTCTCTTGCCTTGACTTCTCTGTTGACAGGTTGATTCTTCTTCGCTCTTCTTCAGTCTCCATTAGCAGTGTCTGTCGCTCCGGTGTCTCCTTATTTGAAAGTCCTTTCTTTTACAGTTCTTCCTTTATGTTTGACCTCGAGTTCCTCTGTTCTGTTGCTTCCAGGCTGCTGATTGTGCAACATCTTCGAGTCAGAAACACAACCTGTTCTGCAAATCATTGAAGTGTTGTAACCGACAGCCTCCACCCGCCTGTACTCACTAGCCCAGAATCAAGCGCTGTTTCTGAGTCTTCCATAGATATTTTGTTGCAGATCAGGGCACATATTCTGTCCGTGAGTGACTCTTCCTGCTGTCTATTTTGTGGCCAAAGTTTCAGACTTATGTTAACAGTCTGGCATTACAGCCCCACGTTTAGTCTCTGCTATCCATGAGACGATCTTTAGATCTTTCAGATCTTCATAAGATCAAACATCAGTAGAAGTTATGAAATGCCAGTTATGCCTGCACGCTTTGTAAACACTACAGTGTTACAGCCACTACTAGTGACCTCTGAGTATCTAAATTTTCTTCTGGATTCTTCCATCACAGTTTCTCAAAATATGTCCACATCTTGAGACCTTTGTTGCTGAGAACTTCACTAGATCTGTGGTAGGCTCTTTCATGGGGATATTAAGCGTATTTCAGAAGTATTTTGTGAACTCTCAAAAAGCCACACGTTGTTTTTTAAGATGCCTACAATTAACTTTTTATGCTGTTTCTTTTTCTGGAGCTTTTTGTCTTGGTGGATTGTGTATTTCCTTTGTTCCTTGCCAGCCCGTTTGGCTAGCTGATGTTCCTGTTCCATGTGTGTTCTCATGCCAGCTGTCCTTCAGAATAAAAGCTATTTATTGTTCCACATTCTCATAGTCTTTTCCAAAAAGACCAAATAGAGATTGCTGCTAAGCCTTTTCTTGCAGGGGGTAGAAGAGTTTTTTGTTAACATCAATCATAGAGCAATTTAAGAACAAACTTGGACTTCTTCTAATAATGTTACAATAGAACTCTTTAGATTGTAAATGAATGATTATTAAACAGTTCTCTGTAGAGAAACTACAGAAAATCAACTTGTCTCGCTGTGCTGTAAGAAAATACTGTTGGGTCTGCTCCGCTTAGATGTCAGAGGATTGTGCTGGGAGCAGACTCTGGATTCACACTTTGCTATGTTTACATATCAATGTTTTGGGAATAGTGGCAGGATTATCCTCATTATGGATTGTTTTCCTTTGATCAGGGGGGCTATGGTTAATGTTTGTTTGTTAGACAGTGTAGGAGCTCTATGTGGAGAATTCAGACAGTCCCCTAACTCTTTTTCTGGGTGTATAGCCCTCTGATACTCTGCAACAGAAGTACAAATTTTTCTTGTGTAGGTGATCTGACCTTTGATGAGACCAAACTAGTGTTACAGTTAAGTTAAGCCAGGTTTAAATCTAACCTTTAGCAACACTCCTGTTTGGCATAGGCTGAGATGCCTTCTGAAGCACCTTGCTCCTTCCCTGACTGCATGGGGACCTAGTCTGATGAAGTCTTCAGTGTAGGTGCCAGAGTTACAGAAGAAGAAATTGGATTTGGAGCATAACAAATTGTAAGGTGGATTTGAATGTCTCTATACAAGATGTCTTTGTGGTCCTCTCTTGGAGAATGCTGGAGCTGCTGGCAAGCTGCCAGGCTGCTGTTCTCCCAAAGGACTGCATTTTCATGTGGAAGATTTGATATGCTGAAACTGAGAGTAGGAGAGAGGGAGCGGTTAGAAGCAGTCTGCTCATTTGTAATTTTCTCAGCCACAGAACATCCCAGTGGGTGAGCTAGAACAGCCCTTTGGATGGACGTGGGGTAGCCTTGTGTCCTTTCACAAAGTGGTTCTGCACAACTTGCATCCTCTGCTTGCAGACATGGTCCTAAGCTTGAGGATGCAGTAGGCTGCATAGCAAGAGGCCAGACTTTCTCCAGATCTGTTGCTGCCTGCAGGTATTAGGTGCAAATACCTGAGCAAACAGGTAGTCTGCGTGGTTGGTGGGGAGGAAGACTAGAAGGTGGTCAAAGGTATGTAGTGCTGGAGTAAGGGGAGCCTGGCAGGACTTGGCTGCACAGATGTTGGTTGCTCTGATGGATGCCAGGAGAAAACAGAGATCTCCGTTGCTTCTTGAACGGGGGAAAGAGACAAACTTAGCTTTCTGCATCGGGCTGTCAACAAGACTGTTCTGAGAAGGAGCTAGGTTCAAGCAAAGGGGGTGTGATGAAATCACTTACAGAACCTCTTGTTGATCTCTCCTCACAGGCACCAGGAGCGCAGTGCTTAACACAGAAGCCCGCACTGTAGAAGCGGACGTCCTGCCCCGCCGCTGTGTCATGATGCGGCTGGTGGATTTCTCCTATGAGCAGTACCAGAAGGCTCTCCGCCAGTCAGCTGGTGCTGTGGTGATCATCTTGCCACGATCTATCTCTTCTGTCCCACAGGATGTTGTAAGGGTAAAAAAAACAAGTTCCCTTTCTCTTCCAATAGGAGATGTGTTTGAGAGGGAGAAAGGCTTGGGTTGCTGCAGGACTGAAAGCTCCTGTTGTAACACACAACAAATCAAATTCTAATTTTAAAACTTACCTTTCTGTCTTTGCTTTGGTTGTTAATTTTTTTCTTCCCTCTTGCGTGTTTAGCAGATGCTAAGTTTGTGTCTCACTTAAATCCTCAGCAATTCATGGAGATAGAGCCGGAAATGCTTGCTATGGAAACCATTGTGCCAGTCTACTTTGCAGTGGAAGATGAAGAGCTGCTGTCTATCTATGAACAAACGCGGGCTGCTTCTGCGTCACAGGGTTCTGCCTCGGCTGCAGAAGGTGGGTCCTAACAAGTGGAGGAAAGGTTTAGAGGAAGACAGGCCTGATCCCACCTCTGGAAGTAGTCTGCTGCATCATATGCAGCGTGAACCAGTGTTCTGTTGCCTTCATGTTTATTCTGTCTTTGTTAAAGTGCTTTGGGATTTAATGGAACAAAACCACAATATAAGAGAGAGTATTATGTGATTACGTAACACAGGTGCACGGAGTTGAGTTCTCAGCTTCACACTGTTGCAAGTAAGATAGAAAGCAAAACTCAGGTTAAAAACAGCATTGAAGATGTGAAGTGACTACAGTGTAGAAGCTGAAGCTTTTTGTCTGGCCACAAGTCAGTTCAGTGCTTCCAAGTGTTCCCTTGTAAATAACTTTACTATCTTATTGACCTGCTGCTCGTGATTAAATTTAGGACTGCTGGAGAAAAGTTTTTGTTTCAGCCAGCTTGAAATACTGGGATTTCAGGACAATGAAAATGCTTGGTCACCAGGATTCCGTGTCAGTGCATAAACCCAAGCGACAAGTGAAAAGGCTTAAATGGTTTAAAGCTGGTCTCTTCAAAGCTCGGTTAGCAAGGGAAATAAAGGGATGAAACTTTCTCAGGTGTACTTTTTTTTTTTTTCTAGTTCTGCTGCACACGGCAACTGCCAATGGCTTCCAGATGGTGACCAGCGGAGCCCAAAGCAAAGCTATCAACGACTGGCTCATACCCAGCGTGGAGGTGAGTTGTATACGGATTCAAACTGGCAACATTGATGGAATGTCTTATTTATCATGAGACATTTGGACTGATAGGAGAAGTCAGGGGTGTCTCAGCTGACTAACTGTCTGAAGTCCTCAGAACTGAGGCCACTGCAGACTCTACAGGCATGCAGAGGTCAGGCTGTCTTTGTACAGGCGCACAAGAGGCAATGCTGAGTGACACTGATCTCCTCCTTCTGCAGGGAAGGCTGACAGGGCTGGGTGGAGAAGACCTGCCTACCGTTGTGATAGTTGCTCACTATGATTCTTTTGGAGTGGCTCCAGTGAGTATTCTTTCTTCCTGCAGCTCTCTGCATATTCCTGTCTTTTTTCCCGTGTGGCCTTTGCCCCTATGGTTTTTCTTGGCCTTAAAGATGTGGGGCAGCTATAACCAGAGCATGGAGGTGTGCTATCTTGAAGGCTGCTCTGGTATGTGAGAATAAGTTTGGGGTTATCACCTTGTCTCTGTTCCACTTCATCCTGCAGTGGCTGTCACATGGTGCTGACTCCAATGGCAGTGGTATCTCAGTGCTACTGGAACTTGCCAGGCTGTTTTCCCGGCTCTACACCTACAGACGTACCCATGCTGGGTAAGAAACTGCCCTATTCTTGCTTGAATGTGTGTAGCTGAGATTGGATACGAAGGGCGTTCGCTCCAGACCTGCAGAGTGTTACAGGTGGTCCTTTACTTTCTTTACTCTGTTTTGTTTCCCTCCGAATACAGCTGCTGTTAATGACCAATCTCCTTCCTCTGGTTTCTTTGCGGTAGCTCTGCTCAATCTTGGGGAAAAATGGAGGGAACGATGTAGGAAGTAGATTCCATCCTCAAGCACTGGGAATTCCCCCCTTTTACCCTGTCCTGACATGACCTTAGTATGCGGCATGTCAGAAGTGTTTGTTAACGGACGGTTTGCCTGGAATGTCACGTGCTAGCTGTTGTGATCTCACCGTGCCTCCAAGGCCGAGTAAAGCAGTTCTGCAGCCATGGAGTGCAGTGTGCAAACACTTTCCTGTCTTTTTTGGTGGGCAGGTACAACTTGCTGTTCTTCGCATCTGGAGGTGGCAAGTTTAATTACCAAGGAACCAAGCGGTGGCTGGAAGACAATTTGGACCACACTGGTGAGTAAGGAGCTGGCATTCCAGCATGTGCTGTGGCAAAGCCTCTGTTAATACGATTGTGTTAAGTGTCTAGTATGTCAGCCCTCCTGTGAGAATCTCCTTGTGTGGGCCTTGCTTTTTGTGGGATGGAAATCTCAGCACAAAACATAGCAATAAAGGTTTGGATTTTTCTGTTCCAGATTCCAGCCTGCTGCAGGACAACGTAGCATTTGTTCTCTGCCTTGATACTCTGGGCCGAGGCAATAGCCTTCATCTCCATGTCTCAAAGCCTCCCAAGGAGGGGACCTTGCAGCATGCGTTTCTGAGAGAACTGGAGATGGTAATGAAAAGCATTTTAGGTAGATGGGAATTCGGGACTTACTATGGGGAGCTGCAGCTCTCCAAGAGAGGAAGGAACAAAGATGTGAAGAAAGGGTGTGCCATTGAAATGTTTCAAGTATTGTTTACAGTCATTTGATTTGAAGTGCAGGCAAATCCTCGTGCCACAGTCCCAAATGAATCATAGAATGATAGAATGGCACAGGCTGGAAGGGACCTTAGAGATCATCCAATCCAACCTCCCTGTCATGGGCAGGGACGCCTCTCAACTAGATCAGGCTACTCAAGGCTCTGTCCAACCTGGCCTTGAACACCTCCAGAGAGGGGGCATCCACAACTTCTCTGGGCAATTTATTCCAAAGTCTTAGCACCCTCATACTGAAGAATTTCTTCCTAAGATCTAATCTAAATCTGTTCTCAATCAACTTAAACCCATTTCCCCTTGTCCTATCAGTGGACACACTTGTAAAAAGTCCCTCCTCAGTCTTCCTGTAGGTTCCCTTCAGGTATTGGAAGGCAGCTATTAGGTCCCCCCGAAGTCTTCTCTTTTCAAGGCTGAACAATCCCAGCTCCCGCAACCTGTCCTCGTAGCAGAGGTGCTCCAGCCCCTGGATCATCTTTGTGGCCCTCCTGAACACACTCCAACAGATCTATGTCTCTCTTATGGTGGGGACACCAGAACTGGACGCAGTATTCGAGGTGGGGTCTCACAAGAGCAGAGTGAAGGGGGAGAATCACCTCTCTTGACCTGCTGACCATGCTTCTCTTGATACATCCCAGGATGCGGTTGGCCTTCTGGGCCGCATGAGTGCCCTGCTGGCTCATGTTGAGCAGACTAGATATGCTGGATTTTCCACTGCTCTTCCTTACGGCTTGTTGCTTGCAAAAGCTACCCTGTAGTGACATTAAAACAGCTTCTTTTGGCATAAAACCAGCTTTTTAATGGCAGTAACTGCACCTTACAGGTGGAAGTACATTTACCATCTGGAATAGAAAAAAAATTGGGTCTAGGTGGACTGGGCAGTGCAAGATGGGACTATATAGTGGGCAGCATGACACTCTGGATGGCTTGTCCTTTCCCTCAGGTTGTTGCCAGCCAGTTCCCGGAGGTGAAGTTTTCCATGGTGCACAAGAAGATAAACTTGGCTGAGGACATGCTGGCGTGGGAGCATGAGCGTTTTGCAATCCGACGCTTGCCAGCATTCACCATCTCCCATCTGGAGAGCCACCGGGACAGCCTGCGCAACAGCATCATGGATAGGAGGTTAGAGGCCTTAGGGAAGGCTGCAGTTGAAATCCAGCCCAGAAACACAAGTTGGGCTTATGACTGCCTGTGCTGTTCTCATAGTCAGAGGATGGGTGAAAAAACACTGAGAGCTGGGCTCTGGATTCAGGCTCATGTTTGATGCAGTGAAATAGGGTGGTTTCTAGAGGAAGCTGATCCCATTGACAAGTCCATAATCCCCTCTTTTGCTTTAGGGCACGAATAGACACTAAGGCACTAACCAGGAATACTAGGATCATTGCTGAGGCTTTGACAAGGGTCATCTACAACCTAACAGACAAGGTAAGAGCTGCCCATTGTGCAGCGCTAGCCAGATTTGTGCTGCCCAGCCAAGCTTGCTCTCACCAATAGGCTGAGTTTGTTTTTTCCCTTGCAGGGAGCACCTGAAGATCTGCAGATCTTCACAGATCAGATGGTGAGCACAGTGCATTTTTGTAACCTATGAGAAGAAGGAATCAAGAGTCTGGGAGAGAGGTGTGGTCTTAGCTTATGCGTGGTTGACTTCCTGTCTTTGGTGGTATTTTTCTGCAGCAGATCCAGCAGGAGCAACTAGAATCAGTGATGGACTGGCTGAGCAGTCAGCCCAGGGCTGCCCAGCTGATTGATAAAGATAGCACCTTCCTCAATACCTTAGAATATTGCATGGGTCGCTACCTGAAGGATGTCAAACAGCATCATGTAAAGGCAGACAAACGGTAAGAAAAGAGATGAAAGAACCAGCCCAGACATGCAAACTGGCTTTCCCCTCCAACAAATTTTGTCTCTGAGCTACAGGTTTTCTGGCTTCTTGGCAGGTGGTTGGAAGTGATTGCTCTTCTCTGTTCTCCTGTCAGTTTGGTTCATGCTCTTGTCTCCGAGAGAAAGCTTTTCATCATTCCTCACAGCACAATAACAAATCTCAGCAGCTCCCTCTGTCTGAGGAGTTTGTTTTTTCACTGTTTTGGTTCCACTCTTCCCACTCTGAGTGCTACTTCTCTCTGAATGCAGGAAAAGAACTAACGTCCCCTAGAGAGCTTGCTTTAATTGCAGAAGGGCAGCTTCCATCCTGTCTAACACGCTTGGCTTGAAGCAGTTTAATGAACCCAGTGAGGCATCTTCCACGTGCCTCTTCTGAGACACCTGAACAGCACGTGTTCTGCATCGTATCCTTAAGCTTCTGATTGTAGGAAAAGAAAGACTTTGACAACTAAAATCAGTTCAAAACTGGTATGCAAGGTGGTCATGCTTACCTGTCTCTAGTTGGGTGAACTCCTTGGGAACAGAGGTCTGGGTGGTACTGCAGCGTCAAGAAGTGTAATACAACCTGAAGAATTTCTTCTTTTCACAGGGACCCTGAGTTTGTTTTCTATGACCAGCTGAAGCAGGTGATGAATGCATACAGGTATGGAATTCCCTTGGGCATGTTGCCTCACTCTGTGGCAGTAACTGCTGTAGCAATTTCATGTGTTCTTTCTTTATTGCAGGGTCAAGCCAGCGATCTTTGACCTGCTTCTGGCTGTCTGTATTGCAGCCTACCTTGGTGTTGCCTATGTTGCAGTGCAGGTAAGAGAAGCAGGAAACGCACGTATTAGTTGCCTCATAAATCACGTGAGCTACTGGTGCTCACACGGTCCCAGCACCAAAGTTGGAACAATAATGCCACCCTGCTCTAAAAGTAGTTATCCAAAATTGCTGGCTGTTTTGATGTGTGTGTTTTTCAGTATCTTAGTTGGCTGTGCTGAAGGCAATCTCTTGCCATTGTAGTGTAAAACTTTTACAGAGCTCCTTCTCTTGGTCAAGGCTTGTTAAGTTGTTTTGACTGTGTGACAGCTTCTGACCGAAACTTCTCAGGGTAACTAAAATGTGCTGTAATCTTAAAAGTTTGCAGCTTGCAGTAAGTTAGGAGTGTTTGCAGATCCTTCTAGTATCTGAACTTCGGATGCAGCTTAGAAATGCATCTTCAGGGATTTGCTTTGTTTTGTTTTTTTCCCTAATGAACCCATAAATATATCCTTTGTCCATACTCCTGGAAATGTGATACTCCATGCCTTGGACAGCCAACTTAAATTTAGTGGTTTTAAGTGTTAACAAAGCCACTGTGAACTGGGCTTCTGGCCCTGACTGGGTTTCCTGAAGAACATGAATGAAAGGGAACTGTTTTAGGTCAATATAAATTTTGATGTCTTCATGTTATTTATGTTTGTTATTCTTTTGGGGAAACAACAAGCAGTTAAACGTCTCATGTAACAACATAAAGATATACTTTGATTTCTGTCAGCTGTCATTACGTTTGTTATTCCAAATTATTTGAAGCCTGCATCGTTATATCTGTCAAATATCTGAAGTAGCTCTTATCAAATCAAAATGAAATTAATGAAAGCAGAATCAAAAGAGGAATTAAGTGAATTTCTAAGTCACTGGTTGAAGTGGTGAAAGAGAAGATCCAGTCAAAGGCTTGTGAACTACTGAGAATCTGTGTGTTTGCCTGGTTCATTTTTGCATTCCTGAAACTGCTAGCAGCAGCATTTCTGTAGTGAGAAATATCATGCATGTATTGAAATCTGAAGCTTTCTATTCCCCTTCAAAAGGAACAGAATTGCATCCAAAAAAATGTAAAGCCTTTAACAAATGCTTGCATCTTCACAACGGAGTGATACAGGCCTGCACAAACACTTCTGTAAGCCATCGCTTTCTGTACAACTTCAAGTAACTGGCTTCATTGTAATAATTCCTTCTAATTCACCAAGTCCCACTCTGTCTTCAGGATGAGAGTGCTAGTGGGTGATCCAAAGAAGGTACTGCAATTGCACATTAGTATTATTTTAAGCCTTCTAGTAAGTTTTCTCTTTGTGTAGAACACAGTCATTTTATTAGAATTTATAAGGACTCATGGTTACTTATTTTCCTTCTATTTCCAGCACTTTGGTCTCCTTTACAAGTTGATACAGAGATTATCTCTTAAAAACAAGCAGCAGTGAAGCAACGAGTCATCACCCATACAGCAACACTGAGCCATCGGTGAGCCCATCAGGAACCTTCTGCCTTCCATTGAATTCTGCTGTTTCTCTTCCTGTCTCCTCTTTGCTACTCTATAGAGGGGAGGAAGGCAGAAAGAAAATGAAAACTTAACTCTTATGCACCTGTTAAGTGCTTTTCTTCATCTTCTTCCCCTGACTTGCACCATGTCTGTTTTCCTTTGCTTTTTGGCGAGGGAGAGGCTCAGACACTTCAGTAGTTCCTGCAGGTTGTTTAAACACTGAATGGGTGATTCTGAGCAGCTTCTATGAGTGTAAAACCAAGTCCAGCACCATCATGGATACGTGTGCTATACAGCCAATTTGGAAAATTAAACTACAAAGTAGAGTGTTGTATCATCTCTGCCCAGCAAACAAGGACTCAGAGCAGTTGTTTAAAAGAAAAGAAGTGTACATGCAAATTAAAGAAAATACTACTAGCATGTTTTCTTATGGCACCTCTTCCTTAAGTTCACTGCCTGGCTTTAGGAAAGTGGGCTGAGCAAACAGTGTCTGCAGCCAGCGTCTCGTTGCATTTTGTTTAGACTGTGCAATAACTCATTCCCTTTTAGGAGGTGCACTGTAAATTATCTTCTTGACTGTTATTGACAGAATGAGGAAAGATTGTAAGAACCCTAATGCAAGGAACTCGTTTTAACAAGGACAGGTTCTCTCCTCTCTCTGTTGGAGGATGCATTTTGTTGTGTACTTGATTTAAAGTTTACGGTCCTTGAACAGTTCAGAGCTGCCACCACTGTGCTAAACTATGCTTGGTTTTTAAGGGGTGTTCTACAGTCCTAGCTGCTGCAGGGTCGTGTTCTGTGCTGTTCCATGTATTTAAATGAGCTGGTTACTTTAATAGCAAGAGCAGCCCTGCTCCTGCAGAGCTCTGGTCTATAATCCCTTCAGTCTTCATTCCTCAGTTTTCACTTCTAGATGGGTTCTGGATTTTGGGGTGTTTTCCCAAGTTCACCTGCATCTCAGGGTCTCATTTAATGTTTTTCAGCTCTATTATTTCTGGAAACACTGTTCCTGGCCTGCACATATAAGCAAGTTCCCAAAGTGCTTGTTATTGTCCTTTCATGTGTTGCCCCCAGTATGTATGAAGGGAGACAGGTCACTTGGCCATTAAAAAGCAAAACAAAATAAAAAATGAAGTTTTATGGATGTCATTTTAAACATGGCCGTTTCCAGAACTGTACCTAAGAGAGTGTATCTTGGAACATATGCTCTCTGTTACTTTTAGCCTTGAGCAAGCCTTATTTTTAGTTTGGCGATGCTTCTGGATGGAGAGAGCTAAGTAGTTGTCCAAAATAGTAGCCAGTGCTGTGCAAAGATCAGGAGGGCCAGGTAACCAGTTGCTGAAGCATTGTCATCATCTTAAGTCTTTCCTGAATTCTGCCATCTGAGATAAGCGGGCAGGATACTTGTCACCACTTTCTGGTAAGAGCTGAATGCCCTTTCTGGGCAGTGTTGCACTTTGTTTACCCCTCAAGTTCTTCTGGAAAATACATCAAGATACTGATTACAGTCCTAGGCTAGTTGTGGTTCTAGATGTCCTGATTGAATACTACTGTCCTGCCACTCAACAATGTTTGAGTCCTTTCTGTAATTTGTTCTATGCACATGAGGTCTCTTCACAGACCACGGTGACTACCTTTTTTTTTGTTTTAAATGACTACTTGTATTTAAAATAGCATCTTTTACAGAGGCTGAGAAGCTGTTGTGAGTTCAAATGAAGGTGTACCCTTTTTTTTGTATGCAAGGAAAATTCAAGCTGTGCATCCTTGTCTGCTGTGTGTGCACTTGTTAGAAAAGGGGTTGTTGTGGCCAGTCGCTGTTCTTGTCCTTTGGATGAGGACCAAAGCGCTGATTTCATCCGTCTTTGTTTGTTTCACTGTAGTCTCCTCCTTGGAGTACCCTTACCCCATGATGTGTGCTTTCTGCTACTGTAAACGTGGAGCAACTTGTTCTTTAAAGGGTCTTTTCCAGGAGAGCATGTCAGTGGCTCCCTGTAATATCAGCAGGCGGCACGATACCAAGCGCTCCTGAAATATCAGCCCGACAGGGAAACGCCTTTTTTTGATTTTTTTGAGTGCTTAGTTAAAATGTGTCTCTCTGCATGCATGAAGTGTTCATGACACTCCTCTGACAAATGAATTTATAATGACTTCAGAAATTGCTGGAGTGGCTGGAAGATGAACCTTGATTGTTTTCCACTGGCTTTTATGCTCTGCCCTTAGAGACTACATATGTTGTGCTATGGGAAGGTGCATGCTCTGGACTGTATAGGTTCAGAACACGCATGGTACAGTGGCTATTTGAAGAACTTCTCTGTAGGTTCTGAATACCTCAAAGTACTTTCACAGGCCTCCAGCTGCATCATACATTTCTAGTGTGTTACACTTGAAGAGGGAGTGTCCCCCCTAATCCAGCGGATTACTTAACCAGGCTTCATGAAACTCCGTTACTTCACTGAGGAAAACAGAAAAAAACAATTATTAACAACCCTGCTGCAGCTTGACTTGATGCCTACAAATTTGCAAGTAGTGGGTAAGAGAGAACAGAAGAGGCCTGGAGCATTCTTCGTTGCAGTGGAGACTGTCAATGTTCGGACTTCCAGATGAGAAGTTCAGAATCAAAAATTTCCACCAAGGCAACCCAGTGTGGTTGCAGCTGTGTCCCTGTCAAGGTAGTAGTGTTAGAGCAAACACTTTAGCTCCTTGTGGTCTCAATAAACTGCCAACACTCCTGATGCAGCGCCAGAAGCCAGTGGCAGCTGTCTAAAAGAAAGGCGAATAGAGGTAAATGAGGAGAGTTCATAAACCTGAAGGGCAATTGGGATAGTACATTGCTCTCCCACACAAGGATAATTTGTCCTATAATCTGATAAGGTGCATTTTGTGTATCTCCAGCTGGCTGCCATAGAAAGTAGTTTTTACTACAGATAAAGGTTTATGCTTTTGATCAAAATGCATGTGCAGTGAAATGTTACACACTCGAATCTGAGATAGTCAAATTCCAACTTTCTCATAGCTGGAACAGAGTGCCCATCCTGAAAGTGAACTTAGTTCTCACGTTGCTGTTTCCTTTGGGAAGTTGATAGAGAAGCTTGTAAATAGACCCTGCTACTCTGCTAGGTTTTGAAAAACAAGCAAAATGGTGCTGATCCATACTGCAGCATATCTGATCAATTCTGTTGTGAACATGACACACAAAGGCAGAAATCCAACAGCTGTTCTGGTAAAATAAAAGTTCTCCACAACATTGCGGAAGAGCTGTGCGTAGCTGATTGTTGTTGCCTCTATTTTTACCGATCCTTTTTACCAGGAGTTTGCCTGGTCTGGAAGGAAGAAGCATGAAAAGCATATGTCCACATATACATAAGCGGCTAGCAGTTGATGCTTCTAGCCATAAAACAATTTTCTTTGCTATCTGTCTGACTTTACCTATGCTGTCAAAGTCTGCAGCTCACAAAAATCTGGTTTTCCAACAGGATGTAAACACTGGAGCTGTTAATTCCTTCTGCCCACTCCCACCCACACGTGCACTAACGGGGACGGTAGGCGAGTAGTTTGGACTGTTGTAGTGGATCTCCCAAACAAGAGAGATCGGTTCATCGTTATGAAATAAGTGTTCTTGTGCAATATGAACTCTACCCTTGTACTCACTGCTAAGAGGAAAGACCTTGAAGTCAAAATGGAACTAGGTACCGCACTATCTGTGGCTCGAGGAGTCACCACAATGTATTTAGACGTTTAAAACCACAGATACCCAAAATTGTTGTGGGACTTGGTTTTGGGGGTTTTTGTTTGTTTTAAATCATGCACTGTCATGTTCATAGCACAAGCCAAAATACTGGGCTTCTCCTGCACCTTGTGGCCAAGCTGGGATTTGCATTTAAGAGCCATTCGGTCTTGACTTACTGATGTGAAATGACGGGATCAGATCATTTCTATACATCTCAGTAAATTGGGCCTCTGGGTGCTCAAGTGTGGGCTCCTGCTTGCTCACTTTGATCTGTTTAGTTTCCATTTGTAGTTATTGGATAGCAACTCTAAGGTTATTGGAATATTTGCAGCTCAGGAAAAAGAGTTGATTTACCTAGCAATGTTAACTCAATTATTTCTCTCTTGTGTGTCCTAAAGAACAAATGTGTATTGAGGTAAATATTTAAAAGCTAATAGAAAATTCAATGCAGTTGATTTTTTTTCTGACTATAAATGTAATAATATTTCAGTATTTTAACATTTTTCATTTCCTTATTTGTTTGTCCCTTTTTCCCTTGGAAAAATAAACTGAGTGAGTAGGTTTGATGAACAGATTTGTTGGAGAACTATTTGCTGTTGGAAGCTTAAAAGACTGGAATCCCCTTGCATTATTTGAAGGAATAGACTCCCTGCAAAAAGGGTGTGTTTAAGAGCGTACATCATCCCTTCTATATACCTAAAAGTAAAACAGTATTGCAGAAAACATTTACAGACCCTGAGCAAGATCCCAGCACCTTGAGGTGAGCAAATTCCCATTTATTCAAAGGATTTGTGCTGATTCAAAGCAATTAAAGTTTCTATGCAAGACAGCTTCAATACTGTGAAAAACTGCCTACCCGAGGAGCCAACGCAGTATGCGAGTAGTCGAATGTTGTGCCTCTGCCATTGCCACTCATCAACTATTTATTCCAACGATCAACATTGCAAGAGATCTGTTCCCTGAGCATGGCTCAGTCTACGTCTTAACAACCAGCGCGGTCACAGCTGCAGAGCGGCAGAGTGACTTGTAAACACGACGGAAGGGGGAGGAGAGGCTGCGCGTTCCTTCTGCTTCCGCCTATGGCCGCGCAGCGGGGGCTTCTCCTCGGCAAGGCCTTTCCAGCATCAGCTGCCCCACCTGCCCCCCGCGTTGCGGGGACGTTCGAAGTCCCGCCGGGGTGCGTGGCTTCCCTGCGGGCTGCCGAAGGAGGCCCGGCCTGCTGCTGCGGGAG